TTGCTATTTCTTTTGAAGCACAAATAGCAATTCCTCTTCTCATGCCAAGGACGTTCTCCAGGCGGCTGAAGCCTGTATGGATCCTAGTCTAGAAATGTCCTTGCCCCAGGGGTGTGGTGGGGGCAAGTTCCAGCCTCCAGAGGGGACAACCCGTGTACCTGTGCCACCCCGGCTCTGGACAGGTACTTGGTGCCTGTTTACTGGCACCATATTTGACTATACCTGATGGAGAGGAGCAAAACATTCTCTGAAAGCTGGCTCCTTTATGGTTACAGGTACCTGACTCTTAGGAGAGGAATCTCTTCTTGAAGCAGTGGGAAGGAAAATCTTTGAAATTACATGATGAACAGCTTGTGCTGAAGTTGATAAAGGGTCAAGATTTATCCTAGTATTAAAGTCTCACATTTTTTTCGGTTAGTTGCACTTCATTCCCAGCTCTAGATGTCACAGAACACGCTGAGAAGTTATCTCTAAAGGGATCACACTTACAAGGATGAATGTACAATCCTAGCTGAGCTGCTCAGACTCAAAGCTCCACTAGGTCTCCTGGAGTCTGAGCCACGGTTATCAATATGCCCGGGGAGACAGAGGCTACTGCAGCCCCCAGGGCCCTCAGCTGTGGGTAACCCAGCTCTGAGGCCTTCCCCCAGGGAACAGAGCATCTGTTTGTTCCAAAAAGGAGCTGCAGCCATTAGGACTGACTGACTAATGGATCCAGCAGGATGGCAAATGGGACATCTCCCCACAGCAACCCTGACTGGAGCCATGTCTGTGAAGGATAAACCTTGGATGGGGACACCAGCACCCAGCGTGACCGTGGAGCAGGTACCCACAGCCCACACACCTCCCAGGGCAGAGGTGCAGCCACGCCCTACAGGGCACTGTTTCAGAGCTGGCCTTGCCCTTCCCCACGAGTATCAACAGGAGCTGTAGTCTTGGCTGCAGAGTGTGCCCGAGCCAAGGTACCATACAGCTGGGCAAGTGAGAGAAGAATTGCATCACCAGGCAGATGGTTGGTTTGGCTGAGTAGACAGTTGACAGATGTCTGTCACAACCAAGGGCATCGCAGCAGTGACTACACAAGGGTGCCAAAAAATTAAAATACAAAGGGAAGGGAAATGATGCTAAATAACCAGATCCTCTAAGGAACATAAGATACCAGAGAAACAGTAAAAAGTGAGAGTAAAAGGTAAAACTTCAGTTTCCTTTGAGAGCAGGTTCTGATCTATGGTCCCCATAACACAACTAGAGCTGCAGCATGACACATCAGCACTCAGAGGAAAGTTAAATGTATGTCTTTGTCTCTCTCAGTAACAAATCCAATATAATACTCTCCCCACAGTAAAACTGTAAAAGAGGAACATTTTTCTTTGCTCAATGCAGACATACCCTGTCTATGTACACTATGTAAGATCTCTAATACTGAACTCCATCCCAGCCAGACCCAGTACACACACAAATCTTACATTTAAAACAAAATAGCAAAATACAGAGCTTGCTCAGAACTTTTATTTGTAGTGTAAGCCAAAGGAGCTTCGTCTCCACAGAAATGCACTGCTAGGGCCTCCTTGGGAGCTATCAACAACTGGTGCATTTGTCAGGTAAAAATACAGAAGCAATTAAATGACATACACACAGAGAGCAGCTTCCAGTTCCCACCTGTAAGTGAAGTGACAGCAGAGCTCCCTAAGCTGCCTTTGCAACAGGCAGACAAATAGCCTAGAAAAACTGCCATTAGAGGGGATGGAACCAAAGCTTCCCACTCCAGCAGCTCTTTGTTGACACCTCCTCAAATGGCTTTGGGCTAAAACGAGGTGCTCAGCAGCTCTTAACACAACGCTCCTATTTATCCATTTTCTGCAAGTTCAAGTATCACATAGCAGAGTTAAGACCAGAATATTTGAGGCAGATCCAGCAAGGACTTGGTTCCACGCTTCACTTCATGCACTGCATCTAAACCACAACACAGAGCATCAAACATCTTCTGGGCTGGGGCTTCTCTTGGGGTAACAGGACACAGGTCCCTGGGCTGTACCCCAGGGTGAAATACCAAGTGTTGCTTGCCCAGGGTGAAAGGTGATTCTTTTCCTTCCTCATCAACAGCCCCTGTGCTGGTGTTTCTTTGTTTCCCTCTATGTTATGACGACGCTGCTCAAAGTGTTACCTTAACAAAGGTGTTTTGGTTGCATTATACCACTGGAAATAAGTAAAATACATGAGAGGAAGGGGAAAAGAGGATATAAAGTCTATATAAGTATTTACACATCCCGTTATTAAAATAAATGAAGGCTAATTATGAAGGAATTAACCACAAGTATGAAATACAAAATGAATTCAAACTGGTTTCTAAATAAAATTAATATCAACTACTGTTAAAACCAAAATATAACATGGTTTTAGAAGCTGTAATAAAAATATAAATTAGTAATTCTAACAACAACAAAAAAATCAAAGTTACATAATTGTTTTAAAACACTTTGGAGAGCTCAAATTACAGCTTTTTTTCTCAGAAAAAGCACAGCAGGGGGGAACCTCCCCCATTCTTCCTGTGAGTTGATCTCAGATTAACAAAAGTCTTCATGTTAAAGCATATACTTCATATATTTTAATAGCTGTTGAGAACATAACACACAGTTCCTTCTACAGATAATGTAGCACTGCCTGTAAACATAAAAAGCACTGTTTTAATCTCTAATCATTTTATATGCAACAATGCCTTTGTTTTGTAATGAATTCCATTCCTTCATTTTAATGTGCCCATAGTTGCAGGGTTCTGCTGAATCATAACTTACACAATCCCAGCCTCCTCAACTGCAGAGGCTCAGCACCAGCGCTGCGACCCCCTGGGCAACAAGACGTTTGCTCTGTGACTTTCTGTGGCCTGTAGATACCATAGAAATGAGGAATTCAGAGTGCCCAGCATTCGTCTCATCTAGCCTTGTTTGGCCTACAGTCAGCTTTGCCCCTATACTTGAAAATAAAGATCAAAGAGCAAGCTAACATTTTTTAGAAGCTCTCAGCATTGCTAGCCTAGAAGGTTACCTGTTGTGTGTTAGGCTGATGTGATCTTAAACTCTTTAAAAACAGCACAATGAATTTTCCTTTTGTTGCCTTCTGGCTCTGAAGTCTCCAAGGCTCATTTGGGTTCTGTTTTCAATTCCCTCTGTGGCTAGAAATGTGCTGTTCTGGTTAAGTGGCAACTAAAACTTTAGGCAAAAGTAGAAAATACTAAGGCAAGTTGTGAGAGACAGCAACGTCTACACTTCAGTTTAAAAGCCCTTGTGTCCCAGGCTTTCCACAGAAACAGATGCGGAGCTGCCCCTGTCCTCGCAGGTGGATTCACACTGGGCTGGCAAGGGCTGCAAGGTGAGGGACCCGAGTCCCAACACAGCAGCTGCAGACTGGAATCTGCAGCACACGGAGGCACAAACAAGGCACTTCAGTCTGTGGTGGCTGAGTGGAGCTGCCTGCCCCTTCCAGCCTCACCCTTCAGGCCTCCCCTGCTCGCAGGACTCAGCACCCCGCGCTCATGCCACAGGCCCTGTCACAGGCCCTGTCTGGGGACAGTTTGTCAGCCTTTCGTCCTGCCTGCAGGCTGTTCAGCTGACAGCTGGAGGTGCCAGCCAGGCCTGCTGCATGCTCCCTCCTCTCACGAGCTGCCACACAAGGAGACAGGAACGTGCAAGCTGAGGGGACTTCTTTGGGAGTCTGCGTTCTTAGGAAACCATGCCTCAGTCCTGACTGGATGGGGTAGAAACCCCCAGAACTGCAGTTCTTCAGAAATCCTACTTTTTAACTTAGGAAATGTATCTTTCCATCATCCACACACCCCAAATATTAATCTCCAATAGATGGATGCTACATGTGCAGGACACACAATCTATACCAGTTTTCCCTTCATTAGAGAAAAGCTTCAGATATCTCACCCTCCTTACTGTTTCTCCTGCTTTGCCTATCAAAGTGAGTAGTTCCAAATGGCTAATTTTTCTCTGCTGTTCAAGCATTCACCCACACCCCCCTCAGGGCTTACTCTTAGAAAATGCCCTCTGGGAGGCTGCCTTTGGATGAGTGTTCTGCCAGTGTCCTCACTTTCAGCCTGTCAGGGACATGGCGCCGTTACTGAGCAGTAAACAGCAACTGAAGAGGAAATCCTACCCACAGTACCTGGTCTGGTACTCTCCGTTCAGTGTTCCTGGACTGTGTCTGATGGAATTAGTTCCACCAAGTCAGTGGGGCACACTCTCAAAACTGTGAGAGCCTGGGGGGAACACCGTGACCGTGCTCTGCGCACGCCAGGGTTCCCCTGCTGCTCTCCACTGCCCTGCAGCTGCCACAGCTCCCACTGCCCCTCCCTCCCGCTGCCTGGACACGGCTCTGCTCTTTATCCTGCAATTATTTTCCTTTAATTCCTTCATGAGAAGCCTTCACAAAACTATGGAAGAGCAGAAGAGAAAAATGACAATCATTAAGACAGAAAGTGCTGTAAAACACACAGTAAATAGGCACTTCTATTCCCCCAATCTTTTTAAGTAAGAGAAATCTTAGGTCCTACATATGAAGAATAGCAGGTAATATACCTTCAGACAGAAGTGCAATTTTAAGCAAATACTTTCCCTTTACTATAGTAAATTTTAACTCATCCTATCACAGGAGTGATCTTTTCTGTAATTCAGCATTCTCGTGGCAGTCCAGCATCCTTACCCTACCATTTCAGGAGTTATATTTCATGTTACATCACTCAAACCTTCATTTCTTTATCAAGCCTCAGATCAGTACAAGCTTTTGCACAACTTAAAAAAAAGTTACAGTGAATACAGCTGTACTTAAATAACTAAACTAAATGCACCAATAAAAGTGACAATCATCAGCTCTCCCTGTTGCAACCAAAAGTAAACATAAGAAAACAAAAGGCCTAAAAAAGGACAGTTTAGGTAGACTTCCAGGTCTTCCCCTGTTTTGCAATTTCAGGTGTTATTAGGAAATAAGGAAAATATTTTAATTCTGAACTTCAATAGAAGAGTCCATAATCTTCATTTAAATGCTTCAGGAGATGGAGTGCAAGAATTAAAAACTCTGCATAAAAATATAGCTACATTTAGTATCTGTGGTTGGCCCCCAAGTAGACAATGACACGATTTTCATACACCTTCTTCATAGTTTTCTCAATTTGCTTCAAAAATACTTGTGGAATTCTCCCACATAACGTGTGCACTGTATCCAGGAACTTAGACTGCAGAGGGTAGTACAAAGACTGGAAGAGATTGTCTTCAAAGGGAAACTAAGGGAAAGAAAAAAAGAATGATTAGTACAAAATGGCATTTTAGTTTCTGTAAGATAAAACCTTACAGAGGCAGGCAAAGACTTGTCCCTCACCTTCCCAGCGTGTCACCAAAGCCTACCAACTTCTACCACTGCTCTGCCTGAGAGCTCTTTGCTCTCAGGAATGTTTGTCTGGGCCCATCACCCAGAGCCAGCGTCCCAGAAACTGTACTTGTAGCCTCTGTACTTGAAGGTTTACTGACATGGGGATACTGCAACAGGACTGGTATTTCAGAGAGTGGAGCTGTACACAGGCAGCATTCCAAGTGGAAATAGGGACCTGTGTCTGTATCCATGCCTCTGCCTTCACTGTGCCCAGAGGCCATGGGCACGCAGGGAGGACAGGCCTTCACTGGGCAGTCATGGACCAGAGCTGCACTACCAGAACAACTCCATTCAGACACTTTTTTCCACCTCCAGCATTACAGAAAAACAAGTCATCAGCCTTGTTGATTACAAGTTTACATGAAGGAGGATTGTTTAAACCTCCTCCAATACACATGTGCAGTAGGACAGGAGAGGTCAAAGCAATCTTCTTAGACTGTGTGTGATGGGTTCCCATGAAGCACAACCATGTTCAGCCTGACCCCAGTGACCTGGAGCAGGCTGAGTGACCTGGTTCCACCAGGAACCCACACTGATGTTTTCATCTGAGGACTGCTTCTATCAAGACACACAACTTACATCACGGATCACTTCGTAGAGTGCCTTGAAGGTAGGCTGCTTGTCATCGTGGTAGACACCCCTGTTGCCATGCAGAATGGAGACCCCTTCTTCTTCTGCACCTTTACAGTTGCTGCCGTACATGCAGTGGTCAGGCCTGTAGTTCCACTGGCATGGAAACACATAGAGACACTCTGCCAGCGTTGGTTGGGGGAGAAAAAAGACACATCAAACACGAGTTAGAACAAATTAAACTACGTTTCTGTGGAAAACCTGGGACTGATGATCAGAAAAATTTCAGTTGCTTCGTTTGCAAATATTCCAAGCAGCAGCTACACATTGGAGCTTCCTCTCCTTGGGGGACAACTACACAAATCTCAGCACTGTCAGACCTGAACTAACAGAAATAGAGCACAACACAAAGACTGGGTGCAGCATAAACAGAGAGAGCATTTTACAAAGCTAGAAGTGACACAAACCCAGAGAGAGGCACTAGCCAGGGTCCTCTGCCTGGTAAGAAGTTTCTGGAGTTACAGAAATGACTAGGGAAGCACATGCAGCAGTGAGAGTTATGTAAAATCCTGACTCCTGGAGACAGCACAGGCAAGCTTGCAAAGTATATCCACTCTCTGCTGCTGAAGCTTCCACTGAGCCTATGACAACTTGTTACACTGAGATACAGCACAGCACAAGAGGTAGTGTGCTTTATCCACAGCCCTCCTAAGAGTCATCAACCACTAATTTCACAGGTTCAGGTTATTTAAAGACAAGCCTAATTTCTCAAAAGGGTTTGTATCCTCCTTTCTCCTACTGAATCTTTTTTTATTAAAACTTTCTCCACGCACCCCCAGTATGTGCAATATGCTTATAATAAATCATGCCAATCCCTGTGACCTTCTTGCGTCAGAAACAGAGTACAATGAATCACTGCACGATGCTGGGAGAGCATGTCAGAAGTACTGATGACTGAATTCTTCACTTGGCCTTTCCTAGCTTCCCAGGAAGTCTGCAGCTGGTCCTGCATAGTTCTTGAATAAGTAGGAGAGAAAGTTTCTGAAATATTTCTTCCCTTACAGCCTCTCTAGCAGGAGACTGCTCCCAAAAGGGTAGGCTGTAAGTGGTTTCCCGTCAGTCTGACCTATCACACACTCAGAATTGCTCCCCAGTGTTGCTGCAGGGGTGGGAAGAGCAGCAACGCCTGCTCCAAACCCTGTGACACGTATTTGGGATCCTTTCAGTCCCCCTGGGCAGACATTTGCAGCTCATCAGCAGGTCACTATGAGGAGAGGATGTCCTCAGGTGCTTATTAGCGTTCCTACATGTCCCTGGAATATTCTTGATCTTCGCCTCACCATGATGCTTGTGTGCTTTTTGCTGTCACAGCTGGACTCAAACTCCAGCTGCTCTGCAAGCCCCAGACCCATTCATCACCACAACAGCCTTCAGAGATGGGAGAAAGGGGGCACCCCTCAGGGCCAGGTACCACAGTCCTGGGTGGCTTCCAGCCACGGCACCGCAGCTACCAACGGGCCCCTGCGGCTGTCCTGCCCGACTCCTTCCCTGGCCAGTCTCAACAACCTCACAGCTTAAAGCCTAGGGAAAATCAGGTTTTGTGTTTTAACTCTATCCAGTTCTTTTGTTTTCTTCTCTTGTGCAGCCTGATATTATGTAGTTAAAAAATTATTTACTAGTCACAAGGAAAAAGACAGACTGTGGTGCAAAGAAGAGTCTCAACATATGGATTTGATAGAGAGCTCTCACCACAAAATTAGTGTATTTTTGCAACCTTTTTCTTCCTTCATGCTTCATCTGGCAGCTTGAGTTCACAACTAACCTGGCTTAATCTTTTTCTTCCTCCATAAGCCCTATTCCCATAACATTCCTCTTTCTTTTTGGAAATTAATTTACAACAACTTCATAATGAAGAAGACTTCTGTGTTCTTTTCTTCCCTAGGATTGAGGGTAGCTCGTGGTGTACATTGATGTCTGACATCTGTCTGCAGTAAACAGATGTTTGCTTATTGCTTTGCTTTTGCTCTCTCCTTTTATTTGCCTGGATTTCTGTACATCCATTGACTTACCTTATGGCTCCTTAGAGAAAAAGAAAAGAGGACAGAATAAATAAAGATAAATCCAAACTTATTCTGTTCTTAAGATTGCTTGAGGGCATACAAGGCACCATTGGAAACAAGGGAAACAAAGTAAGAATGGATACTCAGCATCCATTCAGAGACCTGAACTAAGGTTCTTGGCTTCTTTGGGGAACACTCTGCTGCAATTTTGACATCCAATGTTCCTGGTTTTGGAAGTGCCTGAAGCCATTTCTGTGCGACCAGTGCACAAGGGGCTGAATTTCCAGAAATTGTCTCAGCACTTGGGGAAAAAGTCACATCCTTTTTAATATAAAGATGCCTAAACTTGCCAGTTCCTTGGGAATACACACTGATTGGAATATGACTCCAATTCAAGAGGAAGCAAAGCATGAAGTAAAAATGTCACAAGTTATTTAGGGAGGCATTGTGCAAGAGTGACAGGCAGGAATCAAATATGACACCTTTCTGGTCTGACAAGTACATGCAGACTGGTCACACTAGTCCACACTAGGACAAGTGGGTTATGGCAGCTGTTCTCTGAAAGACTAAGTCCTCCATAGCTCTTCACAGTCCCAGAGCAAGCAGAACACAAAAGAATAAGAAATTCAGAGATCTAAGGAGCAGAATATACATGACACCACCCCAATGCCTGCTGAGGCTGGATCATTCCACTGAGAGGCTGGAAGCATCTATGTTGGGATGGTGGTTGGACTTGATGATCTTAGAGGTCTTTTCCAACCATAGTGATTCTGTGATTCTACAATTCTCAAAAAGCAACTTCTAGTGAAAGAGCAGAAGTAGGGAGGGCAAGAGTCCTAGGCACAAGATTCCAATGGCTGTGCTCATTTTCTATTAGCCTTGTTACTCATTTGCATAGATTAGGCACAAGATTCCAATGGCTGTCCTCATTTTCTGTTTATATTAGCCTTGTTACTCATTTGCATAGATAACACAAATCAGCTGAAGTTCAGAAAAATAGAGCATAGCTTTGGAGAAAGTCTGAAAATCTCACATTCAGATAAACATCTGAAGCAAAAACATTTTTGCAGCTAGGCCCTGGTCCAGTGATGCTCTTCAGCACACACACAGCTTGAACTTCATTTGGTCTGCATTTGGCCATTAATGTTATCCTTCCTTGTTTTCTCAGAATCTCCAGAAAACCAATGCATATATTCACTGGAACCAAGTCCAAGCCCCACTGCCTGCACCACTCTCAGGAGTATTTTCACAGGTTGTAAATCCTAGGTGCACTTACACACTATATTCATGCCAGAGGACATCATGCCTATCATAAATAACAAATAGAAATTCAAACAACTTTTTTCAAGATATTTTCTTAATACAGATAAACACAACTCCAAGAATCATTACTTACCTGGGTTGAAGTAAAAAATGATATTTAGTAAGTCCTGGTCTCCCCACGTAATGTGATTTTTGTACTTTTGGTATAACGGATATAACATTTCCTCCCAAGTCAAGCCACCTGGTATCATGCTGTTCTGCAGGGCAGAAAAACAGGGGCAAGGGGTTAATGCTGCCAAGAGTGATGTGAGACACGACTCCGTGCTACACGTTTGTAAGTCTGCTCAGCCATGTCAGATACCTGGCTGACCAATGAAGACCTGCCAGGAAACGTTAGACCTGGAGAGGGCGGGAGCAGCCGAGCTGAGCGTGCTCCGGTTTATCTGAAGAGGAGAGGAAGGTCTCCAAGCCTAGCTCTGATGTCAGCCCCTGCTGCTCACATCTTCCTATTCTGAGCAGCAGGAGGGAGAAAAAGTGGAAAAAGGCAAGTCAGGGGCAAAGTGAAAACTGTGGTATAAAAGTGAGAAAAACTGCAGACTAAAAATTGTATTTCCTGGGAATTATGACATTAAGAGTGAGGGCTTTTTGTTGACTCAAGCTGTTCCTGTAACAGGATAGGACATCCCCAGCCTTCACTAAGGAACAAGACCACTCAGGGCTAATCAAGTTTTTACAGAGATTAGAGAATACATGCTCAATGAAAAAAACAGATTTTACAAGTCAGGTCTTTCACAGAAGAGGGGAGACATCGGATGTCAGTGAAAATGTTCCCTTCTCACTTGTATCAATTCAAGGAGTCACTTATCTGCAGCAGGATACAAAATTTACTTCTAGTAGATGCAAAAAATTACCAATTTTCCTGGATATTTACATCGATTTCCCAATTTTAAAAAACAGTGTAGTGACTGCCTTGAAGATCCTGGAGTTTATTCTTTAACATACCCATCAAGGGAGAACAAGATCTTGAAGAAGCCATTTGAACTACTGCAGGTTCTCTACTGCTCCAGCCTCCTGGGGAAGTTTCACTTGTTTTGATAATCATTTTCACCATCACTGCTTTTAGTCTCCAAAATAGACTATATTTTTCTGATTATCTGTATAGCAAACTTTAAGTAATTGTCTACCAAGTTTTACAAGAGGTGAAAAATGCATAAATCATGAGTTTGTGCAAAGCTGGACTGCTTCCCACCTTGAAGTGCGTGCTGCGTATCCGCGTTAGGTTCATCAGCATGACACCAGAGTTGAGCCCGGTGGCCCCGTAGTAGGGGTGACGCGCGAAGCGGCTGTACCAGCCAATCTTTGGTATCTCGTGCTCCGGGGCCATGGCAGCCAGCTGGGTCGAGTTGAACTCCTTCAGGATGTGCCAGATGTCATCGATGGGCCTCAGGAACAGAACATCAGTGTCCACGTAAAGGAGAGAGTCCACGTCCTTCAAAATGACCTTTGGGGTTTGCACAGCGAGGGGAGGAGGAGATGGGAAAGGAAGCAGAAGAGTATTGGAAAAAGGTACTTTCATTTTAAACTGGTAATTTGAAAGAGGTTATTGATTTATCAGCTAAACGTAATTACACATAGGAACAAGTCATTAGGTTATTGGCTTGCTGTTTGTTTTGTTGTGTTGGTTTGGTTTGGTT